TCATACAGCTCTTTAGAAAGATGATCCCTAGAGGGCAGGCCAATACTTGCCAACAGTTCCTGCTAAAACAGGACTCTCCCTGTCTACCTCAACTTGCTGTCGGCGGTAAAGTGGAGCTATGGTGAAGCCCAAGGACAATGTAACCTGGGGAGCTACAGACATCGAGCGGAAGACAAGCCGCCATACCTTCTTGCACAGTTTGGGACAACAGAGACCTCTTTGGTCCCTGGTGGCACAGTGGTTAAGTGCTTGGATGTAAAGCAAAGACGGGCAGTTCAAACCCGCCAGCGGCTCTGCAGGAGAAAGATGTGGCAATCTGCTTCGGTGAAGATCACAGCCTTGGGAATCGTATGGAATCGGTCTACGGTCACCGGGTTGCTAGGAGTTGGAATCGACTTGAAGGCAGTGGATTCTGGTTTTCTAACTTGGGGGTCCGAGGCAGAGGAGAGGAGTTTGGTGGCAGTTCCAGAGAGGGGAAGGGCGCACGCTCCTGTTACTACAGGAGAAAAATCAACCAAATCCACCAACTGCTCTCAAATTGATTCTGACTCCTGGTGAATCCAGGTGTGTCAGAGTAGAGTGTGCTCCGTGGGATTTTCAATGGCTGATATTGGGGGGAAGGAAATTGCCAGGTCTTTCTTTTGACATGCCTCTGGGTGGACTTGAACCCCCTAATCTTTCAGCCAAGCCCACTAACTGTTCGCGCCCCCTGGGAGACTCCTTACTGCAGAGAACTCCGGACCATTTTGGTGGAAGGAAAGCAGATGCCGTTACGACCCCAAGTGATAGTTACCCATTCTCCGTCATTGGCGTGAGGGTGGCAGCCACGAGACCCTGCAGCTTCTTCTTCGGGGAGGCCATTGTGCTGTGGGAAAAGTGTGGAAAACACATGTCATTCCTTCTCTTCTTCAAGGGAGGTCAGTTAATGATAAAACTCCCGGGCAGGGCAGAGTCTGCTCTGTGCTTCACTGTAAAACACGCTTACAAAGAGCAAGTGAGAAGGACGTCGACTTCAGAGCTGAGTTCCATGAGGGGGAAGCCTTTTTTTTACAGGCAGGAGAGGGTGGCAACGAGGAGAGGGCAACGTCCAGGAAGACACTGCCAGGCGGCCTCCCATTTTAACTACACAGGGGCTGTGAGGCCATCTGCAGCCGTAAGAAGCAGGGGAATAAAACACAGACACAACCTGGACATAACTCAAGGCTGCCAAGCAGATGCCAAACGACTACTACTTAAACTGGAAGATGGGCAAAATAGGTGCTTTTTTTCATGTGTCTATTCTTTGACGAGAATCCCACCTCCAACCAGTGATCACAATCTCCAGGTGGTGGTATGAGTCACACAGGTATCTTCAGCTCTACCTGTCCGCTCTTACTCTCATGATGACCAGCCTTCCCCTGGTTTTCTAGCTGCACTAAAAACATGTAACCCACTGACTGCCCTGGGCTGATTCTGACTCACAGTGACCTTGTGGGACAGAGTAAAACTGCTCCTC